GATTGGGAACTACAACAGCATCAGGCTGATTGTGGTCGACAGATTCGACCCAATGACGCGTACGATCCTTTTCGTCTATTGTTAGTTGTAGAGAGACTCGAGTTAAACCACTTTCCTCAGCATTCTCGCTGATTTCCGACAACTCATCTTCTAACTCAAGCCCTTTCAACTCAATTTCTGCCAGTTTTTTCCTGTGTTCTTCAGCCAATTCTTCCAACTCTAAACGGCTTTGTTGTTCTTTCAGTCTTAATGATACCTTTGCCTGCCTCTCAAGTTCCTCTTGTTGTTTCGTTAAAATCATTTCAGAATGATGAGAAACTTTTGAGCTGCTATCTATTTTGTCTGGCTCTGTTACTGCCTCAAAACTTGTTTTATAACTGATAGCTTCCTGCAGAACTTTATCGTTGCTTTGAGTCAACTTATGAAGCCACATATCCTGTGCCGGTATCAATTCGTCGGGATTGGCACTTTTTGCAGCCATATCAATCAACTCAGTACTTATCTCGACTGCTTGTTCTATATAGTTCATACATTTTTCAATATAAGTATCAACTTTTGAGCAACGACTCTGACTCTCTATGTATTCTAAAATTATTTCGTGGCATTTATAAAGTTCGTTTTCGAGATTGCTACGTTTCTCAAACAACTTCTTAATTTTCTTTTGAAGCTTATCTTCCATGCTTAATAATTTCAGAAATAAACGACTCTCAGAAAATACTTTATTTTCACTCAAGTAAATCCACAAAATACTCTAATACATCAATAACTTACAAGGGGGAGTAACTTGAAGTTTTAACGCTTTAAGTCTGTTGTGAAACGCTCTACGATTTTTAGGCGACAAACAGTTCCACTTCTTCTTAGCTTTCAGTGTATTTAGGTCAGCACTGTATCGTCTAAGTAACAACAGAGTCTTCAACTCAAGGGAAGGGGGCTGGTGCAGCTCTTTATACTTTTCGATAAGTTCTTTGTCTTTGGCCTTTCGCTGTGAGATAAAATCCTCAACTATGTTAAGAACGAGAATACCTGTCTTTTTCAACTCTTTTTCTATATTGTCCGTACCGTTGCGGCGACAGTATACAATAGCGGTAATATTCTCCTTGTATCTCAAAAGAAGGCTCTTAAGTTGGTCAGTACTCAATCTACGGTTGTTGTTACTGCGGTGCTTACTAATGGAGTTAGTACCAAATAACTAGATCTTTCCGATTCGACAAAAAGTGATGCAGATAGTATTGGATAGTTTTCTGCGAGTCCCTGGCGTTAAAGTTAAAGCTTAAACCAGGCTTTGTGAAACAAGTCTCTTTCACGCGCTTTTGAGACGGTGCGGATAGTTTACGGAGCGCGTGATCCAAGGAACTAGCTCCTAGAATGAATACCATACACTCAAGAGACCTATGCGACGGCTACGTTACGCTAAAGTACCACTGGGGTGGGGAAATTAAGTAGGTCTGTTGAACTCCAACAACGCACACGGAGCAAACCTGAGGATGAAAGAATTCAACTTAACTCACTTAATATCACCGTACCTGACCACTTAACATTAGTGTTGCGCAACGAAGTCAATAATCGTACGAGCTGTAACGGCTTATATTTACTTGAAGCGAACTGGCTTACAGTTTCACCAATGTGGGTGGCGGATCAGGCAAATTGGTTAAGTTCCAACAACACACGCGGAAAAAAACTGAGGATGAAAAAACTCAACTTAATTTGCCTGATATTTCGCTACCAGACCACTTACCATTAGGTTGGTGTCATGTTACAGCACAGTTTCGCAGAATTATGGGGACGTTTTGAGGAGTTTTTGGCAATTTTTTACTTTCTCCCAAAATTTTTCGGAAAATTTTGGTCAGCAGGTTCGATTCGTAAACCAATCCAAAAAACTAGTCTAGTAACTCTTGTCTATGTTCCGTGTTTCTGGATTTTCAATCCAATCACAATTACCCAAAAATTTGTGGTATCGGGAAAATTACCACTTGTAGCTTGCTTTGAGTTGGGGTACAAAATAAGACATCGTATGTAATTTTATTGCAAAGAAAGTTTATAAAAACTAGACGAGTCTTACAGTTTTTGACGGTTTTGGAGACTGGCGTCACCGGGAAAAATCCAAAAACTTCGGGTGTCGAGAAAATTACAGCTCCACTTTGACCAAAAGTCAACAATCAGGACACCTGAACAGGGCTCTCTTCCGCTGTTCAGTCTGCTTTTTCGTCCGTCTGCTATCTCGTCTGTCGGCCTAACTGGGTACGCTATGCTAACTTTCGGCCAAACGTGCACTTTCGGCCAAACGCCCACTTTCGGCCAACTGCTATCTGATATTTTCGGCCAACCGCCCACTTTCGGCCAACTGGTATCTGATATTTTAGGCCAAACGCCCACTTTCGACCAAACGCCCACTTTCGGCCCTCTTTTAGCTGATATTTTCGTATTTTCGGCCAAACTGATCACTCTGACGATTTCGGCCAATCGCACAGTTCGTCCAAATGAATACTCGTCGTGTCTAGAAATAGGCCAAATAAACACTCGGCCAAATAAACACTCGGCCAAACTGATCACTCTGAAGGTTTCGGCCAATCGCACAGTTCGTCCAAATGAATACTCGTCTTGTCTAGAAATAGGCCAAATAAACACTCGGCCAAATAAACACTCGGCCAAACTGATCACTCTGAAGGTTTCGGCCAATCGCACAGTTCGTCCAGATGAATACTCGTCTTGTCTAGAAATAGGCCAAATAAACACTCGGCCAAATAAACACTCGGCCAAAGTGATCACTATGATGACTGTCGGTCAACTGAGCACTGTGGTGACTTTCGGCTATTTGGACACTCGTGTCGTCAAATTGTCAAACAATCAGGGCACTAACTGTCCCTTGTGGGGCGCCAAAATGTGCGCTCAATCTCCGTAAACTAGATAAAACGGCTCGGAAAATGTTGTTTAACTCGTATTCTCGGCAATACAGACATTCATCTTCATTCATTTGTAAATAAGCCACAAACCCAAATAACTCATGTTCATAATTTAATAAACTTTTTTTATTGTTAACATGTTACATCGGCCACAAAAAACTGCATAACTCAAAGCAAGCTGCAAAAATGGCCAGTATTTGTCCTTGAGACAAATCGCTCTTTTTAAAGGTCAGTCTTAATCAAGGCTGAACCAAATTAGAGCAAAAAGACAGTTGAAATAGGTTTTGGGGGGATCGAACCTGGTTACGGAGCATCCCATCAAGTTCGGGGCATATTTGAGTGCTAGAAAGGAAATGCCCTAGGCGGGATTCGAACCGGCGCCGAACCCGCCGGGACGCACCATGTATACGCTTGGCTACTGTCCCTATATGCATTTGCATTTATATGCATTTATACTCTCGCTTATTTACGTCTATATGCATTTGTACTTCTTGTTTTATATTTGCGCTGCAACATAGGTAATATGGTAGCGGGATTTCAATTTGCATTTGCGTTGATTGATAAGATTGTGTACTAGCTGGGTTTTGTGATTGGAAATTTTTATTTTGAGCTCTTAGAATTGGTCTAGGTTGTCGTATATTTTCTTCTCGTGTACATGGTTCAGAAATATCTGGTTGATCCATGTTGTAAGAACGAGATCTTTGGTTTTGATAAAATTGTTGGTGGTTTTGATTATAATTTTCTTCGTCGTCTGATGGAAAATAATTAGATGTATAATAAGGTGTTTGATGTCTAGATTTATTTCGTAGGTGATGAAACTGGGATGAAGAGATGATTTATATATACTAACAATTTGTTTTTATACTAATTGTTTTTGTATTTTTATGTTCAATAAATATATTTTCAAAGATGTTTTTTATTTTACTGCAGGTTTGTTGAAAAGAACTACTAGGGGCATTTTTATCAGTCGTTATTGTACAATTATTACGTTTACCGCTTTTAATGATCGTTGAAAACTTTTCTTCAAAGATACTATGTTTGTAAATGAAAATCTAAATTTATGGCTAGTTAAGTTCTAAATACAAAAGTTTGTGTTGGCTTTTGCCGTACGACCATGAAACTTAATGGTAAGTTTCTGTGTAGTCGTATATCGTCTCTTGTCCGAAGTCTTTTTCCAATACCGGGTAGTTTTCGTATTGTTCGGAATAATGGCTCTGATCTATTGAGTCGTGGAGACATTTGAATTAAATTTATGTCGTGTATCATTTTTGGAAAAAATTTTTTGTCTAATTTTAAATTAATGTTTTGGTTAGTTCTAATCTAATTTGATTAAAGGTCTTGTTCGAGACTTTTGGTCGCACCAGATGAGTAAGATCCAGGGTCTAACTCATTGAGTAATTTCAGATAGGGTACACCGTGTGCTCGTCACGCTATCTTATTTTCGGTCGGCTAGATTCGTGCAACTTCTTAGTCTAATACCGATCCTAATCTTACTCTTATATCTCTTAGTCTCAATAGATCTAGAGTGTACTGGTTTTGTTACAAGTCGGTCTCTTGGAGAAAGCAGCTATTTCTAAGTTAAATTCAAATCTCTCTGTTGCTGAAATTACAAGTAGGTTATAAGTGGGTTTTTAGTTTGATGGAGTATGATTGGTTAGTATTCAATATTTTATAGGGATAAAATATCTAAATAATAACCAATATTAAAATATATATTGGATTTGGTTCCAACACGTACAAGAACTATGAAACGAACATTTTGAAAAAAGCGGGGGAGAGTGTGGAGTGTAAAAGAGCCTCCTTTTGTTCACCAGCCCAAACTTCATTCACTTATGACAACATTAGATACGCTTTTCAAAATGAATTTTAAAGACGTGACTGGCAAAGAGCCGATATATGTTATGAAGATCCTTTCATGGAAGCTTTTAAATTTCAGTTTTTTCCCAGGCGTGTGGGAAACTGGAAAAGAGCCAAAAAACTGAACTTTTTAGATCTGACAAAGCAACAATAAGCTCAAAAATTTTTGTCTTAGTTTCGACAGAAGCAACTGGAAACAAAACATGAGTAGAATTTTCAAATAAAGCCTCCGAAACACAATCTTTATTTGTAAACTGTCTTCTGGTTGAACACTTTCTGCTTTCCTCCCCCTGGCTTGTGTTTCAAGTTGTCCAGAGTGCCACACTTGCTCGTCACCTGGACAACCCTCGAGTTGGGCTCATTCCCTTTGTTGTCGTAATTCTCCTTCACAATTGTCGGTCCTGCAGTCTTTTTCCAGTAAAACACCCACCCCTTGTGAGTCTTGTGAGAAACTCAAAATTCATTTAAAAACTTGATCAGTTGCTAGACCTTTTTATAAGAATTTAAATGACGTATAAGTTCTTAATCTTTCAATATAATACAGGGTAGAATTTTTACAAACAGTTACCCGCAAATAAAATAGCTCGTTTCCACAATCCCCTCCCTCGCCTCTGAACGTTTCAAAATGTCTATTTTCATGGTGAAAAAATTCGTTTTTTATTTTGTTTTAAAGTATTATGATGGCTAAAAGCATATGTAGAACCATTCTGCTGACGTTACTTAGTTAGTTCACCATGTTAAATTTCAATGCATTTGAACAATGTTAAAAACGAATTGGGCTCTTTTCCAGTCCCCCCTTTCAAAATACCGAGTTTTATGTTTGTTTTACGTGTTATTACGGCTAAAAGCTTGATGTTACGCTGTAAAGTATGAAGAACAAATCTGTTCACTGTTGTCGATTTGTTCACCACGCCAAATTTCATTGCATTGTGACAACGTTAATTAAACTTTTCAAAATTGACTTTGAAAGGGGGGGGGAACTGGAAAAGAGCCACGAATTGTTCTTCATAGTAGTTTCAAAAAAGAATTTCAAATAGCTTTTTATATGTTCTTTTTTACTTTGTACCTTAACTATTATAACTGTTGTATAACAACCGATTACTACAAAAGTTGGCATACTGTTTAATTTGGCTTCATTAACTGCATATTGTACCTTGGTAAAACCACTCTTTGCTCCACAAAAAGGATGCTTAAGTTAGACGGGGGTTGAACAGGAAGAAGAGCCTTTTTATGTAATTTTAATTGGGAATAGGCTGCTAAAACTCATAACAAAACCTAATGAAGGAAACACTTTAAATAGTTTTAGTTACTCATTTTGGTCAAAACGTTATTAACTTTTGATTTCAAAGCCTGGATAACTTGGCAGTAGCATTTCGTAATACTTTTATTTCGAGATTTCAATTTTTTTGCTATTATGAGTTCAGAACTGGAAAATGGCCGTTCCTGGACTGTTAGCTGGCCGTGGATTCCTCTTTCCTTTTTTGAATGATTTTGGCTTCTTGTTGCCTTTTGGATTCCCAGCATTGCCTGCTCCATGCGCGCCACTAGCAAGAGGCATTTTTTCTCGACACTTCAATTTTTGTTTCTTTTTTGTTTTGCTGATTTTTTTTTTAGACTATGTTTTTTTTTGCAAAAGCAGACTTGATTGGGTTTCTTTTTCCCAGAAAAGCAGATATCACAATGAGACTTTCTGGCAAGTGGCAAAATTGAACTAAATAGAAAGTTAATCGCACGTGTGCTAAAATTTTAATTAATTTCTTGGAGCTTTTCGGGACTTCAGATCATCCTGAAGTTTTTTCAATGTCACTCCACCAACATTGATTTTTATATTTTTTCTATTAATTTTACAGAGGAACCAAATCATACTTTGAGCATAAAATTAGACAAACTACTTTTCCAATCTACTTTTTTGTATATTGTCTCCGTTCTAGTTTCCTCTAGTACGTCATCAACTTCAAATTTGAAACTCCTTTGCAGAAAAAAGAAAAACATGATAAAACGCCAAACTAAAAAATTACGGGTCTTTTTTATTAAAGCATCTCTACAGTTAACTGTAGACCCCCCAAATTTCATAAATTAACTGTTTTTGGCAATATTTAAGTTTGGGGGGGGGGGGGGGTTGGGGGAAATGCACTCAAATTTAATGGATATAGATTGATTTTATTAGATTTCTTATTGTCACTCTCCAAAAAAAAATCGTCAACACTGAAACGAAGCTTCTCTTCGCAAACAACAGCTAGAAAACGACAAAAAGCAGCTTTATAAAGTGCAGTAAAAAGTAGAAACAAAACATCGAATTATCATTTTGCTCTTTGAATAACGTGTGAGGAATTATTTAAAAAAGTAGAGTGAATATTTGATATTTGCAAAAAATAATCAATTTTCATAAATTTGTGAAGAAAAAGACGAATATATTGTAATGAAAAATGGATTACAATTAATTATAATGGAAAAAAAATGGATTTCTAATATTCATAATTATCGGTTAAGGTACCCTTAACTCATTTTTCAAGGTTGGATGGGTCATGAAAATGGCTTGTATGGGTTAACCCGCACTGAAGTTTCATAGATAATAATCGATTATATAGGATTTTTATTGTCAGTCTCTACAAAATAACAAAATTATTCGATTATAATCGAGTGAAAACGGATAATAATGATAATATTTTTTAAGCAACAAAATCCCAATGTAATCGATTATAATCATTACTTTCAAAAAGTTTTATCAAAAAAAAGTAATCCATTTTAATCGATTATAACGGATTACAATCTATTTATTCAAATCTTTTTGAGATTTTTTCATTTTTTCATAATTTTGTTAAACTTAAGTTAGTTATTTTGTTCTCTTCTCGCTTAATTTCATTTTTTTCCTAATTTCAAATGCAAAAAGTTATTTATAGATCCCACACCAACTCCCCCCTCCCTACGCTTACCCGTACTACAGTTAGATGTCCCCTAACTAGAGCGAGAGGGAGGGTACGTCGTGGTTGGGGGGTACGTGGGGATTTTGGGGGGGTGGGGTACTTGAGGGGGGTACGTCGTGGGTTGGGGGTACGTTGGGCGGGGACGTTGGGGGGTACATTGGGGGGGGGGGGGGGGGGTGTATGTTGCAGCGGGGGGGGGTTGACTTGACGAGCTGGTCAAAATTGCTGTTTTTAGGCACTTTTTGGAAAATTTCTACATATTGGCCGCTTCTGGATGAACGTGTTGGTTCGAGTTTTGCAGAAAGTTGCAAAAATTAGAGTCATTATCTACAAATTTTAATCAATTTTTATGGCTTTTGTACAAAAAATAATCCATTATTTTGAAAACAAAATTGGATTATAATCGATTATAATGGATTATAATAGATTTAAGTTTTTCCAAAATAATCGATTATAATCGATTAAAAATCGATTACGTGGTCTAAATTTGACATGATAATCGATTATATAGACAATGTTTTAGTCAACAAAATTCATTATAATCGATTATTACCCATGAAACTTCGGTGCTGGAAGGTTTTAGCCAATATAATCCATTAAAATTGATGAAACTCCAGTAAAAGGGAGGAGGACTATAATGAGATAGAAACAAAGTTACGATTGGTTTATTTTGACTTTGACCGATCAGACTGAAGATAGAATCTAAAACAAATTAACTTCTATGAAAGAATTTCGAAAAGGAAGTTATTTTTGCAATTTTTTGCCTAAATTTGTTGTTGTTTTTTTTCTAGAAAAGTTGTTAGCAGTTACTAACATAAAATTATATTCCTTGTAAATTGATCTGAAAAGTGGAAAAAAATCAGGTCCGCTTTTCTCGACACAGGTAACCCCTACAAGCGTTTTTTGAGATAGTCATAATTGGCTAGAAAAAAAACAACCCAGAATCCAAAGTATCTTTCCTTTCTTCGAGTGGTCGGAACAACAAGTCCCACTTTCCGCCATGGTGTAGTCAAGGTTGATTTTCATGCATTCGTCCCTCCGCGCATGAGGTATTCCCCCATAATGTTGAGTCCTTAGAAATTGTATATATCTGGGAGTTGTCAGATATAATATGATCTGTATGTTTAAATTGGCGCTCAAAATAGGACTTTCAAGGTTAAGGTTGTGTTCTGATGTCCGACCGAAAAAAAAATTATTTCATGAAGGACGCGGCCTATCGAAAGTTTTTGATTATTTTTGGTTATCATAGGATATTTTCAGCTCAAGAAATGCGAGCTTCGATATGAGAAAATAGTAATTCAAAAACAATTTTGATATCAGGCTTTGGTTCTCTCTTTTTTGAACTTCGATGCTTCCTGGTCCATGACTTATGTATCGCTGCAATATCAGTCAAATTGAATCCAACGACTATTGTCCGGCTTTGTTTGAGATCATGCTTAACAGTCTATCCCACTGATAACAAGTCTGCCATTTATCTCTAGATTCTCGTGTCGATCTAAACAGTCTTTTACAAAAGCCATTTTCAACCTATCGTGTCTGAATTATGGAATTGCGCGACAACAGACATTGACGAGTAGCTTCCACAAGACTTTTTTGACCTATTTCAGACTAACCCGACTCCCTCCTAGATTCGTAGCCGTTATCTTCATACGTTGTCTGTGACTTTACATCCCTCCAGAACGCAGAATAAAACTTCTAAAGTCTGGACATAATTAGCAGACCTCGACCAGAAGTTTTGGTTGAAAAACGAGCTCTCACCAATCAGCAAGTACTGTTTCTAGACTTCCGTGACCAAATAAAAATAAGTTAGAACAAGTTTTTAATTCACTCTCTTTTTGCGCAACAATACCGCCACCGATAGAAGAACAACAATAAACCCCAAATTCACTAAAATTGCTTCCCACACCTCTTTATGTTCTAGTCCCCACCCCTTGAGGAAAATATCTCGCATCGCCATTGCCGGAACTGTCAAGGGGATTAGGTAGCTGAAATATCTCATTGGGTATGGTATCGCTTCCAGAGGCCAAATAACCCCACTTAACATTAAAATAGGATAAATTGTTCCGATATTAACATGTATGGCCTGAGCTTCTTCCGAGCAAATAGCTGAAACTATCAATCCGACAATAATTCCAGTAATTCCTTGTAAGTAAGTCAGCAAAAGAGCTAAGAAGATATTTCCGAGAAAAGTTGTTTCGAATAATAACAGCGCGGTTATAAATAAAATCGAAACTTGACCTGTGGCGGTTTTCTCTATTAAAGAGTCCAGTTTTGATTTTTTCTTAATTTTTTAAGATTTTAATCAAAATTTTTCTAATAAAGTGGCTGATTTGATTTGAGACAATGAATTTATAGGTTTCTGAAACCATCCAAGTTTTAAAAAATGAGTAGTTGAAAAAAATTAGGTAACCACAAAATTTTTCAAACGTTTTCCCGAATAAACGCCAGAAAAAGATCATGTTTCATTTAAAAATTTCATAAGGACTTTTAAAAAAGTTTTTATTGAAAGTTTTATGTATAGGACTTGAATGGTTAACTTACTCATTTGATTTGTTTTAACTTCTGGGCTCGTTAATAGAAAAGACCACCACCCACCTGTCATTATAATGAATTGCACAATCATGAGTGAAAACATAAGAAGAACTTCTGTGACGCCCGAAGCAAATACTCGGTCAGTGAGACCCTCTTTCCGCTCCACGATTGATTTGGACCCTGTTAGACTAGTCGAGATTGTGTAGGTTAGTTGTAATATTACACCTGGCACCAGGGGTTGATAAAATGCTAAGAACCTTATGACGAAAACAAATGGTAAGTTTAAACTCAGTTTAAATGTTTTTCATTTAAGTGTTTTTTATCAAACGTTTGATGAAAAGTAAAAATTAGAAACATTTGCACAGAAAGTAGATTAAAATAGAGATTTGAAATTAGAGAACAATTTCATTGAAAAACATTCAACTGGTCAAAATTACATGAAAACGGGTAGAAAAAACTTTTGTTCTCTATTGTAAAAACCCGTCGTCAAAAATCTAATGATTATACAGAACTAATTATTGAAATTGAGTTAGAAATTTTTCTAGGGGTGTTTTCGAAAAACTTTGAAAATTTTGTCGACTTTTTTAAAGTTCGACCAATTTGATTTTCCGAGCTCTCTTGAAATAGTATAAGGACCGTGTTTTTTGAAAAATTTTCTGCGCCGCAGCCAAATTTTTCAACAAACAGGCCAAAAAAGGTGTTTTAGGCACTTTTTGGAAAATTTTGGCAGCCAGAATTGAAGGGGGGTCCCCCTTGGCACGCTACTAGTTATTCGATGACAGTTCGTGGCAAATGACTCTGCAATTGAGAAAGAAAATCAAAAATAAATACTTTCTTTGCCGTAAAATTGACATTTTAGCAACCCTTTTTTAACCTGGAGTCATGTAATCAGTTAAGGTTTCAACTTCTTCGCCGTAAAAAGGTCTGATAAATTTAACTGGCGATTTGTCGCCAATTGTGAAGTTATTCTGATTTGACTTTATCTCGAGAAAATCAAGCTCAACTTGCTCAAATACTTCAACGATTTTCCCTTGTAGAATCATGGCAGTTAGTTTGACTGTTTCGTCCATGCTAATAGATAAACTATTTTCATTAGTGATTTCGGCCGAAGTGTTATTCGGCTCAATTTGCCTCGTAACAAATGATGATGTAAAATTTTGTCCAATGTGAACAACAGCTTTCAAGTTCATCTTGTCGACTGCTTGAAAAGCAGATTCAATTGAGTTGTAGTAATAAACTTCGACTGTATCGCAGTTTTCAAGAAGGACCAAAAATTTCTCACTTAGGGAAAATTCGAAAGTAGAATAGTCTTCATTTATAACTGCAATCGGTAACTTTTTTGGTTCTCCGCCCCAATATAATAACATAAACGATATTTGTAAAAAAGGAAGAAGAAAAAACAGCAGTAGCAAAGCTCTGGTACGAGTAATGAAAATCATATCTTTTCTGATGCACGCCATAAGTTGTCTAGGATGGCCAAAGTTTCGGCTAAGATAGCTTTTGAATTTCTGGAGAAAATGGTCGGTCTTCTCTGCATCTTGGTGAATCCGTTTTGTTTGATCTTTGCTCGGAACAATCGCAACTTTGGCTGCAAGGTTAGGATCTGATCAAAAAGAGAGAAAAATGTTTTGTGAAAGCGCTGACTTTTTAATTCTGTCTTCGAAATATCAGAATAAGATGTGATTTATAAAACAAAGAACAATTAAATTAAACTAGAAGATATCATATAAAATTACTTGAAGTTTTCAAAAATGGCTTATTTAAATGCTAATCTAACATTTGTTAATGAACGTTTTGAAAAAAATAGCAAAATAGCAAAGAATGTACACAAAACAGCGAAAAATATATATCAAAAAGCGGATCTTTGTAAACATTTTCTCCTCGCCCCTTTTGCAAAAGGGGGAGATTCATTACTAGGTACAAAATTCACTGTGCCTAACCGTTGAATTAGTTCATCATAGGGACGGCAATTTGTTTCTGGGTACCAAAGAGGGGATAGTAAAAGAGATCCAATAAGCTTCATACCAACCCGATACAGCATACAAAGACGAACTGCTATCATTCTTTTTATTCGAGCCCTTCTTCCCTTCGGCGGAGTCGTTAGTGCACAGTTGAACAAATAACTCATCCAGGTTGTTCACACCTCCCAAGTTGATGAGGACTTCGGGATCTCCCTCGCATAGAAGTCTCCCCTCTCGCATTAGGCCGACCTGAAGCAATTTTAAAGTGAATATAAAGTTAGCATCTTAAATCAATTTACAGGGGGATACAGGGGAAGGATTAATCTTTTCGTTGCAGTCATTGTTTCAGACAACCTCGGCGAAAAAATATCCGAACAATTTTTTCAAAAAAGAACCTGGTCGGAACAATGCGATAAATAACACTTCTTTTTTTATAGTAGTTGGGATGGTGGACTAAAAGTTAAAAAAAAATGTCAAAAACCTTTAGTGAAGAAAAATAGTAGCTTAGAAAGAAACTATAAAAAACGGAACGTTTTTTTAAGCTTTATCTGAACCCCCCTCTTGCTCTCTCCACACGGAATTATCATTTCTCACCTTATCCGCTTGTCTTGCCTCCTCAATGTAGTGTGTAGTGAGTATCACTGTTGTACCCCTCATGTTGGTCAGGTGGGTGAGGTGACTCCATATTTTCCCTCTCAGCAGGGGGTCCACTCCCACTGTGGGTTCATCCAGGATGAGTAGTTTGGGGGAATGGATTAGAGCCACTCCGAAAGACACTCGCCTATTTTAGAATAAGGGGGGGGGGGGCATTTCGACTCTGTCGACCAAAGTCGGTATGATTTATTTTTATCGACACAAAAATAATATGTTCGCCTTCGCTCGACCCAGTTCTGATATTTTTGACTATCTCCACCAGAGTGGATGTAATTTGGTTGTCTCATGACTTTCTGGACGCTTCGTTCATGTAATTTTTGACCAAATTGACTAAAGCAGGGGCCATTTTGAACTATCTTGACTTTCTCGACCGAAAGAAAAGTATGGCCGAGTTTACTCTCCGTATAACCCTCATCTATGACCTCGTTCCCAAAAGTCAAAACTGTAACGCATTTCTTTTTGGTTAGTTTTGGTAGAAGAAAATGGCGACAAAACCGTTGCCATTGACCTTCAAAAATGCCATTGAGCTTCAAAAATGTCTGACCTTTTCTGGCCGCCGCTCAAGTTCTCTATTCTCCTCTCGGTTGGGGGGAGATCTAAAAGTTCAGAGAAGAAGCCAACCCGAGTTTCAACTTCACTCGATTTCATTCCGTTTATCCTTCCGTAGAAATGAAACACCTAGAAAAAAGTTTTTAACTTAATCTTTGTGTTTTTTTGTTTCAATTTGCCTCAAATTTTTAATCGAGAATTTTCATAAAGCACCTTAAATTCATCTTTTAGATTGTCGATATTCGACGTTTTTTTGCTATTAGACCACAAAATTAACAACAAGTTTAACTACATGAAAAAAATCTTTTTCTGCTAATTTGAAGGAAGCTTATTGATGATGCACTTTAAATCGTCGGTTTTTCTTCTTTCTGTTCTGTTTGATTTCAGCTGTCGCAAAAATATTTCTATTTTCAAAACAGAATAGCAAATCACAAAATTACAACAAAAATCACAGAATTAGAGACGGATTTGTGACGTTGTGGAGCTCTGTTTAAAGCGTTGTGGCGCAATTTGCGAAGGATGAGCTCTTTTAAGTAAATCATAGCTTACTATGGGCGCTGGTTATATGTGCTCTTATTCATCCTAAATAATTAACCTTAGGGTTAGGTCTTGGAGCTGGTTAACCAAAACAAATACTAATTTTGAAAACCCAGATATAATTATTTTGAAGGGGAGCGCGTGCCAAAAACACAGAGCAGAATTTAAACTTTAAAATGAGCAAAGACGGCTATTACAAAAATCACACAATTACTTCTTTGATTGTGAAATACCGATGAAGGGCCACATCTTGCGGCATGTATCCAACATCACGGCCAGGGATCTGATTGCCAGTTCGCTGACTCAGAGATGGACTTCCAAAAAGCCAGATTTCTCCATTGTCTAATCGCAGTTGACCTATAATGAACAACAAGATTGATTCTATCAGGGACAAATTACATTCAATTGGAAAAACTAGACTTCAGAGTTTTTGATTTTTAATTAAATTGAAAGATTATAGAAAAAAGCTTAAATTGTTTGCAAAATTTTGCAGACTTCTGATGGCTGAGATATTTGTAGTTAAAGAAGCTGTTACACAAAGTCGGAGATCAATCGCAAATAAGTTTTCACAAAACATTTTTACAAATGCAACGAGCAATTCTTCAAAAGGTGATGTTAAAAATAGTTTTAACTGATGATATGATTATCAAATTTAGCTACACGCGATGCATGAAGCCACCGTCGCTTTTTTGTACGATAAGGAGTTATCAAAGAAATCGTGAGAATTTTGATAAAATTGGTCGCATCGGTATAACTGCTATGAACGTTGACATTCAATTAATTTTTTTCACCCATGGCACATGTTGTGGCAACGACTAAAGGGTGAAAGAAGCATGTTCGACTTGAAGCACACGATATTTATACTCAACGCTACTCCGATTCTTATGCGATTTCAACAGAGTGTCCACAGTTCTGTTTTTGTTACTTAAGATATTGGATGCGAAAAAGCTTTCGTTGTCACCTTGCTTGCGTCTTATAAAATGAAAAAACTTACCATCAGATGATTTTTTTTACCTGAACGAGTGGAAATCAGTGTAACATAAAAGTGGTGATATTAAAAATGTTTCGTATTTTTTTTTCGAAAATGACAATTATTTTTGAATGATTGCGTTTTTTGCTTCATGAATCACCAACAATTCAGAATGCACCATGACTAAGACTTGCGTTACAGATAGCGTTTTGCAATAGAAAAAAAAGCACGAGATCAAGAATTTCCCTAACCTTCCTTATCAAATAGCATGTCTTGATTGAGAGTAAACTTTTAATATTGATCAGAAAGGTTTGACCAGTGTTTCAAGTTAACAAAAAATGATAAAACACGAAAATGAAAAGCTCAGCAAATGTTACTCAAAATATAGCGCGGATAGATGGTTTTTGTGCAAGTTGCACAAAGTATCTCTTGGACAAAAAAAAATAAAATAACGGTATCTCATAGTTACAAATTGGATTGTTTTTTTTAGATCGTGGTAAGATAAAATGATATAAACGAAAGTCTCAGTAAAATAATCAAAATTAAGAGTAAACTAGGCTTAGTTGATAAGTTTTGCTTAAAATTAAAAAAATTTATACTAAAAATCATCGGGAAACCAGAGAACAGCTGGACTCGAAAGAAATATCCGAGAACAGAAGCGACGAAAAAGCGGCATCGGTTATGTCAGAAACGAAACGATTCAAGGGAATGAGAAGCGCCGAAAAACCTCTACTTTTCTCAATCCTCTATTTAATCCTCGAAAACGAATTTAAAAAAGGATATTCAGACAGAAATTTACAAGAGTAGAAAATTCTTCAAATCTCCTTCAAAGAATTTTGGTAAAATCTGTCTACGACGTTCATGAAAAAACCAAATGTCGTGTTGGAATGGTTCAAAATGCTAAAAAGAAACCAACGCGAAAGAGTCTCATTGAAGCAATTCTGTTGAGTTTTAGTTGAAATGGCGAAAAAGTGTGACATATCCACCGTAGAGAACGAATGGATAAGAGACATTTTCATAAAGCAATTGAAAAATTCAGAGATCTACAGAAAAAATTACTGAGAGAAACCCTACCGCTCCTGGAGGCACTAAACATTGCATTGATAGATGAAAAGGGTACAACCAACCATATAAAGTTGGCTAATAATTTAAAATTCATTTGATCATCTGTACATAAATCTTACAATAAATTTAACGTCATAAGATAACCAACTTTGAATAATGAGCGAAATAATAACTGTTTCAAAACAAATTCTCTAAGGGCCACCAAGCAGCTTGTCCGAAAGATACAACCTGTTCATCATATAAATTCACTAGATTATGTAAATCTTGCCGTAAAAATGAAAGTATTGTAGATATCCAAATTGTTATAGATTTTAAATATCCTTCGGATCAATTGGATGTAATTATGGATTGTGTAAACAGAGAATGCTGTAGTGAGATCATTGCATGGCCACGATCGGGAGAGTGAAAACGATGGATATTCTGTGTTAAAAAAACTACGATTTTTGACGACGAAGGAAAGGAAATTGTTAATTATTGGCTTTGGGAGAAAAAATCTATAATTTATTATACAAGTGGACGCTGCCAGCTCGGTTAGTTTTTAAAAAAAAAATTCCTCCACGAAGTGAAGTTAAGGGACCCATATTTGAAGATTCATCAACCGACAAAAGAGATATGTTGCGGTTTTACAGACAATGCCGTTAACATCATTAGCAAACCAATAGTCCCATTTTTCTCAAACGGATGGGAACATGAAGAATGTCTTTTTTTCATGACAGAAAGCCACGAGAGGATAATCTTTGGAAGTGACAATTCATTCGAAAATGGGGATAGAGGTCTCGCAGAAGCATTTCTCTCATTTACAGACCAAAAAGACCTGTAAGTCTATAAATTCACAATCCACCGCCGAAAAAGGCTGGGAGATCAAACATATTTCCAGGGCCTTTAAACACCTATTTCCTCGCTTTGGAAAAATAGAAAATCAAAAGAAAATTACTAAATTTCTTAATTTTTTGAAAAACTATTCAGCTAAAGGGTAGAGGCGTTCCCCTTCATTTATTTGACACAGAAAAAACCAAAATAAATTGACATAAGTCCAAAGTTTACACTAAAAAGCTGGAAAGTTGCATGAAAGATATATTCATTAGCCCAATTGTCACTACCTGCACTCGTAATTAGCACTGACTCTAAACTCATCAAGAAAAAACTCTACAAAAAGTCCAATAATCATGAACATTTCGACAACATAGCGGCAAAAAATTCGAATGATTCCGTTGGAGAAGTTTGGTTCACTAATTTAGACTTAAAAACGGTCTATAATCAACTGTATCTGGATAATTTTACGAGTAACGAATTTAATTTTAGTATAGTAGGCAATGATATTACCGGCATTTATCTAATTTTAACTGGCTCTCATGGACTTGGCAATATGTCTAACGAATTCCAAAGAATCAGGGACTCAACATTTAGAACAAAGATTTATTATTTGTTATTTTAGACGATTTTAAATGCTCGAAATGTAATTTTTTCCGTAGAGAAAAAGAATTGCTCGGCTTTAGAGATTCCATATCAGGAAATTTTGCGACTGATATATAAAAAAGGCAATCAAATAATTACCCATTCCAAAAAACCTGAAGGAATTTAGATCAATTTTCTGGTTAACGAATCAATAGATTAAATTCGTCTCAAAGTGAGCCTTCTTGGGAAGCCCATGACGTTCTTTGTTAGACAAGAAAGCCACATAAAAGAATTTGAGAAAATTAAACGAAAAATTGTAAAACTGACAGAAAACACTCATTTTGACATAAAACCAAACCCCAAAAAAAAGATGGACGCATCACATAATGGACTCGGGCATCTTTATGACAACTTCAAAGGAACAACTGGAAGACGGTTTCTTCCTAATTAAAATTTCTAAATCTACACGAAATGAATTATTCTTCCAAAAAGTTAGAACTTTTATAAGTTGTTTGGGCGGTAGAAAACCATAAAAATTACCTTTACGGATAAAATTCCTTTATAAATTTAGATCACAAAGCCCTATTTTCTCTTTTTTTTTCAACAAGTCACGGGATAAAAGTTATCACAGGAGAATAACTAGATGGGTCGGTCGTTTGTTATCAGTTAACTTCATAAATAAACATTTTGACGGAAAAGACATGCAATTCACCCACCTAATCACATGAATTCCGTTGAAAAATTGTTTCCCTCATCACATTTTGATGAAGATTTTGTCGTGGCAACCATTAAAAGTTTTAATAGAGCGATTTAACTTTCTGATAATCAAATAAGTTCTACAATTCGATTGGTTCAAATTTGGAAAAATCAGATTACGTAAGATTACTTATCTGCCTATGTTGTAAAACCTATTAACTGGACACTTATAATTTGCAACTTAAATTATAATCGAACTGAATTTTGTACTTCAAAAAGCATGCCTTCGAGTTATTCCAATTTGATCCTTTTAATTTTCCATTTCAAATTCTGCTGTTTTATGTTTCTTAATTCTTAATCTTAACTTAATTAATTACCGTTTAGATAGAAAACTTGTAAAACCTGTAATTATGGCAGATAAAAAAATTAAAATTGGTCTGTCCCCTTCCGTCATGAAAGTTTCCTAGAACTTTTCGCTGCTATCCGAGCAAGAAAAACTTGTAAATAAATAGATCTCCTAACTGAAGATGACCCAATGTTTAGCACTATCGTTAAGGCACTTCAAAACAAAGTTGAGACGACCATTTCTAATTTTCCATTTTTTCTTCATTTTGTGCGCGAACTTCATGAATCTGACGGTTAATTATAATGAAGAAGATGCTATGATGAAGATTTTACATAAAGCCCACCCTGGCCAATTTGGAATGAAAAACTTGGCCGAAAACAACTGTTGGCCTCATAAAAGTAGACAATATGACTTCGATGGCATAAACTGTTCAGAGTGCACTGAAATGGGTAAAAACTTGAAGAGCATAATCTCAAACGCACAAATTAGCAAATTTACCTTTTTTCTGAAACTAACGAAGAACGTGTTTTAGACTGCTCGTCTTCTAGATTCTCAATGGTGAACAAACAAGTATAACTTGTTATATATCAATGGAATTTCAAAATACCCATTCGCTGAAGTTACTACATCTACCCCAACAAACACAAACAAAGACATTCTTCAAGGTTACGTTTATTTATATGGTATTCCATACTCTTTTCTTGTAGATTATGCATCTTAATTTTACAAGTCAATACTTTAAACTATTTTGTGATTCTAATAACATTAAAATAAAATTCTATACAGTAGGCGACCACGTTCCGTTTGATTAGTCGAGAAACTTATACATTCTCTAAAAATTAGAATTTTGACAATGGCACGGGAACTTCGTAAATGTATATTACAAGACGCAATTAAAAAAATTACTTGGAACCTTTGATTACCAAATCAATCTAAAGTCAAAAACCCTCCTTTCGAAATACACTTCAATAAAAAACCAAACACCATTTGGAAGCAACTCGCGTCTTGTAGATTATCCAATTGAATTTTAGACAAATGGAAATCAATACCAAGCAAGGAACGCGCCCTAGACTCAAAAGCTGAAGATAGAGTTTAGAATGGCTGCAAAGACACCGTGATACGCAAGAAAAACCAATCGCGTCTGGAAAAAAGGGCTACAAATTGGACTAAATCTCTCCGTCAAAACTATCCTCGTCAAAGATACTACTTCCGCAACCAATAAAAAATAACATCCTTCCATCCTTCGGAAAACCAAAAAGAGCCTCAATAAAAATTTTTATTAAAAAAGTTGAACTAGAAATAATGCTTCAAAGGCTACGGTTTAATTATCCGACAGAAGAATTAACAGAAAGTTAGATATTGCTTTAACAAAAACCTAATCAACTCACATTCTATCTTCTAGAGCAAACATCTCATTGCCGTTTTTTCCAAGCCATGATTTTGAAGTAGGTGCGATGCGTTCCAACCAGAAGAATTCCTTGTGTCTAGAAAATCTAACCCGAAGACGAGTGAAGAGGTCGGGATGGCCACGTCGGACAGCAACACCAGGACAAAAGTTTCTAACTCCCAAAGCCTCACTCAAGAAGACAACCTCCTCATTCTCAAGAAGAAATCATTCCTATATTCATTCCTTCGCGTACTTTAAAAAATAAAGACTAGATTGGATAGCTGGAGGTCTTTCCTGTAGAGATAAATTAGGGAACGGATTATTTTCAACACCATTAACGATTCGAAGTACAATAAAAAAAATCCTTTATTCTCAAACCATCCAGAATAACATAAATCTCGCGATTTCAGATGACCAAACAACCGAACCCGTAATGCTAGAAAGCCCAATAAGCATCATCCGAGCAGAGCGTAAGGAGTCCACATCGACACCTAACCTGGATACTACTCATGATTCGAAACCCCCTGCTAATCCGCTAAACCGCCGGATAGGAGCGGTTCATCAGCACCACAAGAACCCTCAAAAAATTTGCGGATTTACGAGATTGTCGACTCATCTGACGAGGACCCAATGGAGCAAGCGACGACTTCCATTCCCGGTAACGAAATTTGGGCCCGAAGAAACTCTGCGGTGAAAGGTATCAAGTAGATGTTTTAGATCAATTCGAAGATACGTGAGGATCGGCTACTAACCCATTCATCTTAGATCTTACCAGTCCAAACGAGTAACAACCGACTTCAGCATGTTCGACTCCTTCGGATGGTTTGGCCACATTGTCTGACACTATTTTAACAGACGTACGTTCTCCCTCTTCAAAAGATTGGCCATTGAAGATTACTATGAGAATGTCGATATTGATAGCGAGTTGCTCAATACTGAACTAGAGAACTTTATCAATTTGTTTACTTCTTCTTTTTTACCTCATTTTTGTACAATCGGTTGAATAACAATCTCAGAATTGCTTTTATTTTACATTACGCTTATTGTATGTAATGCATACCAGCTATATTACCTCGTACTGAAGTTGAGTACAGTGTTGTTTTCAGCAGTTTAGAAAATCCATATTTTGCGTGATAATAATTTCAAAAATGGTGTTGAGTTTACCTGTTTAACTGCATAAAAAGTTCGTTAGTTAATTTTCCTCATTCAACTTGGTGCAGAACAGTACTGTTTTTATTTTGCAAAAAATTTTATTTTTCCATGAAGCGAGAGAAGGAGCAGTTTTGTCAATTGCTGTTTTTTTTTCTGTTTCGAAGAAAAATTAATTTTTTTAACTAGCTCATTTCAGTTTAATTGATTTTACAGGTCATTTACGATGTTACCTTGACCTTTTCCTCCTCTCCGGTAGAGAGAATGCTCTCTCCCACTTTTTAAAATTAAGAGTAAAGCTTTAACATTGATAGAAAATGATTGACAAGTATTAAAAGTCAACAGAATGATAAAATACGAAAATGAAATTTTCAGCGAATATTAAACAAAAAATAGGGCAGATAGATGGTTGCTATGCAACTTGAAAGAAATAACTCGACGATAAAAAAACTGAAGGGTTCTCATAGTTTCAAACTTTGTTGTTTTTTTAATCCTGGTATGTTAAAAAGATGTAAGCGAAAATCCAAGAAATAGATATTTTCAACGCTTGAGAGAATGTTTTATTCAGTCAGTTATGGTGATCGAAAAAAAAAACAGTTTTAAGTTCCATTGAAGATATCGACTCACCAAAACCAAATTTGAAAAGATATTTTACCTTCGATCTTTTCATGCAAAATATTGGAGTTTGAAAATTGCAAATTTAGCCATGCTCTGTTCTAATATATCGGCGCTTTGTAGATTTTGTCCGATATATCTTGAAAGTGTAACACGAATTGCCGTTCATTTAAATCGAATTTACTGAAGCATTACTTGCTACTTTCATGACAAAATCTTTGAAATATAAAATTTGTTCCAATTCGGCGGTGGTCAGTGACAGTTTGAAAAATTTGCATATTTCTGCCGGTTTTGTATTTGGCCAATATCAATTAAAATCCCTGGAATTATTTGCTTTCTTCCAGATTTTCATGCTTTCTTTCCTATTTTCAGATTACTGAAACCTGATTGGCTGATTTTTACTTCGCGCATTCGGTCCTTTGAGTATGAGGGATTCCACAAGTTATCGTAACATATTAATTCCAATTTTGATTCATTGCTATATCGGTTTATTGCAAAAGCACCATCATAAATGCCAGCCCCACGTTTTAAATCAAAAGCGCTGTTAGGTGTTAAAAGGAAACTAAAAGGAAAGGTTCTAGCTTAGAATATTTCCATTTAGCTTAACTTTAACACATAACACCGCCTTTGATTTCAAACGCGGGGCTGGCAATTATGATTGCGGGCATTCTAATTGGCTCACATGCATGACGCCTATATCAATTAGTTCTGGGCTAAAAATACAGTGCTGATTTAAATTATCCGGACAAAACGAACAAAACTTGAACTTTCAAACACGTTTTTCTCAAAATGGGTTAAGATTAGACAAAAAGCGCCCAGAACAACAGTTGCTTAGAATTGCATCCTAATTACTATGGTGCAATTTTTTCTCCAAAACTCTTAACCAAAAATTTACCCCCAAAAACGGGTCATTTCAGCGTTTTTCAATTAATCAAGAATTACGCAGAAACTACTTTGTTAATTGATGAGGAGTATATATCAAACGAAGCCTCTTTCACAGCTCAACCACATTCTCGAGGGTTAAATCTCCAAAACTTGAGTAAATTGCTTAAAATTTGTTTTTAAGCAAAGTTTTTGGGTTTTATATAGTAAAAATCAAGTTTCTTGACTACCAAGCAAAAAAAAATAATACATATTTTTGCTGATTTAACCTCCTAGAACTTTGTTGAACTGTGTAAGAGGCTTCTTGTCATTTAGATTTCACATCAATTAAGCAGTTTCAACATAATTCTTGATCAATTCAAAAAAGCCAAAATGACCCATTTTTGAGGTAAAATTTTGTTGAAAAAGTCGGAAAAAAGTTTGCCTCATATTAATTCTGATGCAATTCGAAGCAACTTTTGTTGTGTGTGCTTTTTGTCTAATTTTAACCCAATGGAGAAAAACATATTTGAAAATTCAAGTTTCGTTCGTTTTTTTTCGGATAATTTAAATCAGAACTGTAGTTCTGCGCTCAAATTGTTTATCGGGTCAAAACAATTTTGGGCTTAAAATAGTTCGGTGGTCAAAATAGTTATATAGGCTAAAAATAGTTCTTGGCACAGAATAATTCTGGACTCCAAATAGTTTCTGGCTCAAAATAGTTTTGTGTTCAAAATAATTCTTGTACAGCAACCAAATTTAGTGGCTACCTAGAATACACTTGAGCAGAGTAGTCTTCCCACAACCCGATGGCCCCAGCAGTCCATATATGGACCCTTTGTCCACTCTCAAACTCAGTCCATTCAACACTTGGTCAAGACCATTACCCTCTTCCGAAGTGGATTTTCCATAAGATAATGAAGCTTCATCGCATAAAACAGCCACTGAATTGCTCATCATGGAAACAAAAAAGTAAGCGAACTTTTTGTTCGAAATCAAAGTTTTCAGAAGAATAAATTGAGGCAATTAAAACTGATTTATTTTTCAAACACTTCTGTAACATATAAGCTGCATCAGAAAAGTAAAACTAATGAAGCATGAATTGTTTTCAAAATTTCAAAAAGCCGAAATTTAAAAAGCAGCCGTCGAACTACACCGCTTAAAATCTCGATTTTTCATCTCGATTTCGTAATGAACTGCAAGCAATGTAAGAAAGTAATAATTAACAAGAACGCCAAAATTATCATCTTGAGTTGTGAAGTCTAACTAAATCAAGAGTTCATTTGACATATTTGGATTTCCCCTTCACCGATTTCTACCGATTTCTACCCTTCAAAAATGGGTTGTGCTCAAAATGAATGACTATTATAAAAGATTTTAAAACAATTTCTGAGTGTGCTACTGGATTTATTTTGCAAGATTGAAAGCTGTCCTTAACTTCAATAGCGAGGAATATTTTTAGAAACTTCTTTTCAACTCTCAACTTCAACGCCAGTTGCTCTCACTAAGTGATCACAATATGGTTTATGTTAACGAACTGTTAGAACTTTCCGATAGCTTCTAAAAAATTGAAATGCACTAAATCACAAATATGCCATTGCTCATTTACTTACTTTTTATAAGTTTAAACATACTTTTTATAATCTGACGTCTAATAATTGAAGACATTCAGCTATAAATGGGGTGTCTATATCTATGTTTTTGAAAAAAAAGCCGTAGTGACAAAAATGGATAAAAATCGATTATATACAGAACAATCTACAGATTACCTTAAGCATCGAATATCGTTTTATTTTTAACCATTTTGAGCACGATAATGCATTTTATACAGAAAAACAACCTATTTTTCTACCAAAATACATAGATTCTAGGCACACACTCAAAAAAAACCTGTATATAATCTGTAGATAATGTGCATATAGTCAGTGTATAATCTGTATATAATCTGTATAAAATGTGTATAGAATTGATTATTTTACCTACAAAACATAGAGGTCGTAAAAATTTCAATTTGATTTGATTAGATTTAAAAATAATGATTTTTTTTTTGCAAAAATTCAATAAAAACTTGTAATCAGGAAACATTTTCCTCAATTTATCTCAATACTACAATTTTCGAGAGAACCCTCTGAAATTTTGAAACCTAAGGGTTCCTGCGGTAAGCAAAGTAATTTTGTGCAAAACTTCTTCAAATGCCATTTGTAAGATCAACGTTTTTAGCCCAATTTGTGAGAAAATATCAAAAAAAAACTTACAAAATTGACAAAGAGCAGTAAGATTTTGCTGCAACTTAATTCCACAATACTGATTTTGAATTTTTTATCTAAATTTTTTAATTTTTTTTTTCAAATTTCTGTACAAACATTTCAATGAAAAACTTACATCATAATTTTATTTCAATTTACACATACTATCTGATGGGCGAGTTTGTTGAGAAAATCAGTACATAATCTGTATATAATATGTATATAGTCTGTAAAAAATCTGTACACAATCTGTATATAATTTTCAGTGTATAATCTGTATAGAATCTGTAGGCTAACTGTAGATACTCTGTAGATGATCTTTACATAACCTCTGTACGATCTGTATCTGGTATGCATGAAATTTGATACAGAAAAAACGGTTTTAGAGTGAATTGGTAGTGATTGTATAATGAAGTTACACATTATAAAACTTATTAACAAACAAACTGCATTTTAAATGATTATTAAAATTAAATAATCGAAATTTTATTCTATAACATTACAACAGATCTGAAATTGTATATTTTTATAGACAATAAATTTTTCTTCATTTCTGTCACTGTGGGAAGGCACATCTGAAAACAAAGAGCCGTTAAGCTCCTCATGTGGGGATGATGACGTTAGATACGAGGTTTGCTAACAGTAATTGTTTCAAATCTATTTTTCTTTACATGTCAGTAAGTATTAAAAAAAACTTGTAGAAAAATAATTGTGACCCCAAGCAAAAAATTAAATAAGGAAATTTTTTATTGAGTGAATAGCATGCAGGGTGTTTTACAAACACGTTTTTTAAGAATCTTTTCTCATATTATTAACATTCAGGCTAATGAAGCCATCGTTCTGCAATAAACAGCAAAAGTTTGTCAAACACTGTTGATAATTTTCATTAAAATTGATTGGTTTTTTTTCTCGTATATTTTGTTTTTGTGTCGAACAAGCAACTATAGAGCTGATATAGGCCCATGTGTAGATCCGCTCCCCCAGATCGACCAAGTGAAATCCCCCCCAACCAACTGGAAGACGAATTTATTCAATAACTAGACGCTTTTGATTGAATTTTTTATATCCTGAGCCCAAAATTTCACATGGGAATACTTTTTTTTTAAATTTATGGCATTTTATAGATTACCAATTTAGCCAAGTTGGGACAATGAGCACGGGAAATGGCAATTTACCCTGTTCACCTTATTAAAGTCAAAGCAACTGGTATGACCCATTTTGAGGGTGTAGTTTGGATTCAAAGCTTTTCAAATTAATTTGCGCCTCAAAAATGCTCAAAAAATAAAATCCTCAAAAATTAAAATCTAACATATTTAATCACCCCATTTTTTACCTAAATTCAACCAGAATTGACACAAACAAATTTGAAAACTTTGTGTTAGCTCATTTTATCCAGTCATTTTAATTTAACAGCATAGTAGCTTGTTCAGCACAAAACGAAGTGAAAAACCAATCAAGCCGCGAAACCATGCCTCATTAAAAAAACAATTGTTTTTATTGAAACATGGCAATTTTGTGCTGTCTACTGCAAAAGGAATAGCCTAAACTGCTCAAATAATTGTGGAATGAAAAAAATCCATAAAACAATTGTGTTTCAAAAACACCCCTAGAAACTACCGGCCTTGATCTTTTTTCGGAATTTTCTGCTAATTTTGTTGGTGTTAGTTGCCCGCAGAGCTCAATGCTGTAAGATGTTGATTTTAACTGCCCACAGTTATATTTGGTTTTCACAACTCCGGTTATTTTATTTTTTAAGGTCTTGCAGATTTTACCTCATTTTTCAAATTCAATGTCAACAGTTATTTTCATCATACCACCGTCGTTTTAATACTCCTTTTTTTCATCTTGAAACAATTCTAACTATTATCCAAACTTTTAATCCAACAAACCTACATTTAACCGAATACATCAAGACCAGGAACCATGTCCAACTTTCAGCAAATATGAAAAACAACTTAATGTTCAGGTAAATTGAGACTTTCAAAAACTGCTAACATGCATGCAGTTTATACTCACATCAGCCATGACTACGATAGCTATAGAAATTGTGAATTTGAGAACAAACAAAACTATTTCAAAAGAGCAAATGAGCGATTTCAGCTACTTTTGAAGGCCACAGTTAATTTTCTCAAGGTCACTAAAAATTCAAATCTAATTGCAAAAATTAGTCAAGCAAAACCAGATTGCTCTTTTTAATTATTTCTCTCTGTTGCAATTTTTGCAGCTTTCTAAGTGGTTAAATTGTTATCTGTTTTGAGTTTGCGAACAATTAATGGCAGAAAAAAACGCACCTAGGACTTTTCATTCAGATAGTGAGCAAATGCTTTCTCGTTTTTCACTAAGTAACATAGCTGTTTGACCACATTTTCTAGTCATAGTTTTTCTCAAATAAGTGATTGATCTATGCCCGCTTTACTTGAAACCACCTTCGAAGCTTGCCAAATTTGGAAAAGCATGCAAATTCAAAAAGCAAAGAAAATTTTCCGTAATGGATTAGCAAATTGATGAATCTAAAGAAAAAAATTCCCTGGGGATCAAATACAGAGTCATATGAAAGCTTCCTAAGCTTCTTGCATTGTTCTTTGAAATAAAAATTGCTCAGAAAATCAGTAATTGATTCAGATACTTTTTTCTGTATTTTTTGACCAAATTTTCTTCTTTTTTTTTTACGGCAGAAACTTAAAAAATATTGTGGTAGCAATTTACTGAATCAATGCACTGATTCAGCAATTATTGAATCAAGCAAAACCTGAATTTGAAAGAAAAAACATGTAAACACAGAAAATGATAAAACGGAGATAAGATTTTTGAGTAGTTTAAGACCTTATTTTGGAAAATTTGAGCTTTATTTTGGGATCTAACAATTTGCCTTTAATACTTTGACTGTCTATCAAGCCTGAATTTTTTTTAACGTCAGATCCTTTTGTCACACCAAGCAGAACAAGCAGTAAAAACTAAACTAATTTGGAAAAAAAAACCTTTCTGAACCAGAGTTTTTTAAAGACCATAGTCGGAAACATTCTGTGATACTTGCACAGTAACCGGCTATCCTTGTTTTTTAAATATTTTTTTTGACCACATTTTTCCTTATTTTATGGCAGAAACTTTAAAACTGTTTTGGTAGCAATATATTGGATCAATGCAACGATTCAGTAATTATTGAATCAAGCAAAAGCTGAATTTGGAAAAAAAATTAAAACACAAAAACGGTAAAAACGGTGATAGTATTTTTGAGTCCTGCGTTTGTAGAAGTCAAAAAATTTTTTCTCCGATCTATCCGTATTTTTGTTTAAGTTTTTTTCCAAATTCAACTTTTGTTCCAATAACTGAAAATGAAAATGTCTTTATTAGTTCCTTTTTTCACTCGATTTCAGAAAACACGTTTTAACCTCAGATTCGATTGAATAATATATTATCAACATAATTCCAACTGTCAGTTGATCAAAACTTAAATACTTAACATACATTTTCTCATTTTCGTAAAAAATTGGTTCACTTTTTGTGACTTTCAGACTAAAATTGAAACAGGTGTCAAATTTTTAACAAAAAAAAATCAGTTTTATTTCGTTTGCAAGTAGAACTGTGGTCAGAATAATCAGTTCTCCAACAACCGGCTTTTCATGCTGTTTCAATCACCCACAAATGATTTCTTATGCTGTCTTTTGTTCCGACGCACGCAATTTGACTATTAGCAGGCAAAGTTCTCGGGCATCGGGGGTTACATCATAATAATGGAAATGTTGTCCTATTTTTCAAAAAAATTGTCCTAGTGTAAAATACTCGATATTTTCTGAGTTCAGACCAACTTAACGAAGTTTGATGACAAATTGACCTCATTATAATTTCAATATTGTTTTACTTCTTCAAGTATCACCTTATTTTTGCACACTGTCTATTGTCACTGCTTCTTCCAGTTTTTCATCTATTACAGTTAATCTTTGCAAAAAGCTTGCAGTAAATTTAGAAAAAACACGATCTTCTTTTTGTGTCTTTGATTTTTTCTTAAATCATTGTAGTCGGAGCATTCTCTGCTACTTTGAATCAGTTCAAAACTAGTATTTTACAAATCCAAAATACTTAGAAACAACCAACCATGATCCATGACTAAGACTTACAGTAATTTGTAGAGCTGAAACTATTTATAGTATCAGCCAGAGAAAAAAAAATAACTTCAAAAGCAGTTGCT